CACGCTTACCTCCACTCCAAGCCGCCACTGCTGCGCTACCGGCGACCATAGCTTTTGTGCTTTCCCCTGTTGAGCGTTCCCCGGAGACCACCTCCATAACTTCTCTCAGAGAATCGTTTGGCAGATTTTGAACGCAGATTTGAAATCAGCATAAAAAAATACGCCTAGCAGTATAGATCCCATTTCAAATGGCCACTTCGACTTGGGATCCTTCCCTTGTAAGCTTAAACCTCCCCCTTTACCGAAAGTCCGACCCGGCCTTTGAGAACAGAGTAAAGGAATAATAGAACCGTCTCACTAGGCTGTGTGGGGTCGGTCTCAAAAGAATCTATCCATCCGGGCGTTAGGGACGATGGCGCCAAGCGAGTCTGCCCAGTCGAGCAAGCGGAACCATGTCTGTATCACGCGTAGAGAGGGCGCATGTTCTATTATGAACAGCCCATGTCGACAGCGAGTTATTGCGACGTTGAGCCTGCGGTAGTCGTCTAAAAATTCGGCCGAACTCGGGCTGAAATTAGTTTTAGTAGTGAGGATTATGACGACGTCCTTTTCGCGTCCTTGCACAGAGTCGACTGTCGTCAGCTCGATCTCGCGCTGGGACAGCGGCTCTATGAGGTACCTGAATTGCTCTCTGTAAAAAGTGATTACAGAAACGTTTTTGGGACGTCGTTTTGGGCTAAGAGGTCCACAAGGCTCAAACAGACGGCACCTTCAACGGTGTTATAATGGGATTTACTTATGGCCTGACCGATGTGCCTTCCATGTGGATAAACATAAAGGGTACGCCTGGGGACGGGAAGCGGGTGCGAGAGTTCAGCAAAAGAGTATGCGCCTCCGCAGGTGTCCCACTGACCAGTATTCCCGAGTAGCTATGGTGTTGGGGATCTCAATAAGAGCGAGGTGCGCGCGAAATATTGTCACCAAAGGAGCGTAAGGCAACCCCGGAGCGTGCGATAAGATGGTCATGACACCACGGGTGCCGTGGAGTACGGGATTTGATGCATGTGGGCATTTGGCGTGCGGGATGAGTTGGTGTCATCGCCGATATATACGTGGCGCGCGACTTGGACACGGGCGGCGATAGCCAGAAGGGCAGGCTCCGGTATCTTTGAAGCTTCATCGCCTATGATAGTGCGAAACGAAAGAAGGTAGGGGGTGAAAACCCCGGTCCGACTCGCCGTAGAGTTGAGCGAAGACGCTGTGGTCATGCATATGACGAAAAGACGGTAGACTTTGAACAGTATGCGGATCATGCGGCGGAGTGTGGTAGAGACGTACTCCTCGACTATCTCATACTGTTCTCTTTCATCGTCCGACATTTCGTGGACGCGCTCAGGGTGAGCTAGCCAGACCAGGTCCTAGGGTAGGGAGTCCTCGAGAAGTTGGCGATGATCCCGGAAGTCAGCACGAATTACGCGTTCGTCGAAGTCCAACTGGTTGTAGAAGGCGTTACCCAGCGTCTTCAGAATCTTGCTGAGGTCTGCGTCCGTAGGAGTACGGTTGTCGGCTGCGGCTGAAGCGGAGATGTGGCGAACAACTCGTAGATGGGAAAGTCGTCCAGAGAGAGCAACGTGTCCGTGAACTGGGTTACCGCGGCGTTCGCAGACGTCGTGACAATGACGGTGGTGTATGGGGTATCGGATGTTAAGGCGGCAATAAGGGAGCTTATGAGGGTCTTGCCTGTGCCAAAGGCTGCCTGTACACCGACTATGGGCTCGTTGGAACAGCCGAGGCGCAAAACCTCCCTCTGATCCGGTGTGAGGACTATCATTTGTTGCTGGACCGAAGAAGTCCAATCTAACTGGGGAAGATTGGGAGGGTCGCGTAGGCGCAGAGGCTAGTTTGCATTCGGCCGAGGACGGTCGCAGACGAGGTCGATCACTTGGTGACCGATCGAGTCCGCTTGCAGGTTGTCGAACATAGAGGAACGAGACACTAATTCATACAATGGATCTGAGGCCGCCGAGGTCTTGACCAGGCGTACGCAGATGCCAGCGGTATGACCGATGCCTATATCTATAGCGTGAGCGGTAAACGCGCGCTGTAGAGCCAGGTTCGACCAGCGGAAAGCTTCAGTGGTGACGTCCAGTCTGCGGGCAGGAGAATCGGGCTCGACGTGTACGACCTTAACTTGAATTAGGTTATCCAAACCTACTACCCAAACTACTGCATGACGGCCAGGACCCCATCCTGCCTCTGAAGACATGTCATGGAAGTGGAACCGAATGCGCGTAGAGAACCAGCGTGGCCAAACGGTTGTGGCGTCGGTCAAGTGCGAGCGGCGATCGTCATCGGCGTTATTAACGGCGACTAGTGCAGAACAAGCTAAGCTACAGATTTTGGCGACTATAGCTTTCGAAGCGTTAGGTCGTTAACGTAGTTGTTGAATGGTCCCAGGCGATCCTAAAAGAAGTCGCGTTCTTCTTCGGTAAATCTGAAAACTTCGAGAGGAAGCATACCCTCATCTGGGGGCATGGGAAGAAAGCGACGGATGAGAAGGACTAGTTGTTCTCGAGCTTCTAGGGAAGCGGGTGGTTCCGAAAAACGCATCGCTGGAGAAACGTTCACGCAAAAGCGGGCCGAAACGATGTCATATTGCGACAGACACCTGAGCGGAACAGAAGTGATAGCGGAGGTGAACGTGACTGCGTCTGGGCACCCTTCGAAGGCTGCACGGGCACGAACGACAGAGTTACGGCGAGAAATTAGGTTGAGGATCATAACGTAAATCGGAGACACGTGATCCTTGGGTCTAACGAAGGCGAAATGAGAAGCCCTGAAGAAAAACACGGAGGTTGTACTAACGATGGTGGTGCGAGGTGCGCGCGATTCTTCCAGAGACTTGAGGGGTTCTTTTAGAGCTTGACGCGTAGGTTTGACATCGTAGACTCAAACGAAATTTTTATCTGAAACCAGTGACTTATTGAAGCAGCGACGATGTCTTACTACTTCTACCGCAAACGTGTCTAGCAGGATGCAATGTAGGTCGCGCCTTTCGGGACCTACCGTGAAGAAATATTTCGCCTCGAGTATGGTGCCGGTACCCCATCCCGTGGACACTACTCGATATAGTACTAGGCGATAACCTTTCCGATACGGAAGTGCGGTTATATAGGGATGCTTAGCGCACGAAGTTCGTGGCAAACCGCTGACGTCAGTTTCCATGTAGGTACCCGCTAACACATTCTCGAGGACGCGCTGAGAGCGCTCGCGGAAGGCGATCGTGTCCTCAAGGGACTGAAGCTCGATGAAGGGAAATTCTGATGGAAGACGTGGTGGCGTCCGTATGACGATCTGGGGAAACAGAGACTTATCGAAGCGTAGAGACAAGTAACCGCTGTCGGGTAAGTGTCGGTAAATTTCCGTACTCAGGGTGGTGGTCACAACTGGAAGGTTTTCCCAAAGCATATCGATAGGGCGCGGGTTAAGTAGGTAGGCCCATGGGTGGCGACGAATAAGGTGTGGGAGGAACCCTGGGGGGTTTTTTGGGGGAGATGACCGACATCGACTTGGGGCAGCGGGCCGACGTGGTACTGCCGAGCAGCTCTACGATCACGACCACCAGCAGCCCTGGAGGAAGAAGCGCCGTGGCCCGAAGATTGGGGCTGAGATCTACGTGGAACAGCCTGCGTATTTGGTGACGAACCCTCAACACGATCCTGAGAAGATGTTGAGTGGGAAGGCTGTGCGTTCGAGGGTCTGCGACGACCTGAGGCTGAGCGTTGCGACTTGGGGGGGCTGAGGGTGAGACGGGCCTCGAAGATCGAGTTGGAGGCCGAGGGGAATTAGCTACCGATGACCGCTGCATGGATGCAGTTACGCGAACGACGACGGCGCAGCTAGACGAGGGAGGAGGAAGGACGTCGCTGGCGGTTGAGGCTGAAATAGAGGAGGTTGGCGCATTCGAGTCACTTTCCATGGCCGAGTGGCTGGGGGTGGCAGTTCCTAAAGTGTCCATTGGACTTTCGGTAGAAGAGAAGAAAAAGTATTTAAAGAAAAATGGGCGCTGACATGCAGGCAGATGAATAATTCCCTGTAACGGCCGCTACTCGACGTGTGGGAGAACCCACGGGTTACCTGAAAGGACCATCGGGGTCTGGAAGTTGCGATGTAGAAGACGGATCACCCATGGCGACAGAAAGCGCTAGAAAGAATATTCGGGCTTACTCAAAATTTCTGAAACATAAATGATAAAGTGGTGAATAAGAAATGAGCACGTGACGCGGTAATCAATGCACGAAGTGAATCATTAAAATTCAGGAGGAGTAACGTGAGCTAACATAAGGGTTTGAATAAAGGCAGTCCGGGGCAGCTATTAGGGAACACAGGGACGGCATGTATGCCTGCGAAAGTGAATTGACCATTAATAGCGGCAGTTCTTCTGACGGCAAACTGCACAACTGGAGTTATTCGAATACACTGCCGATTGGATAGCTTTTCCTAATTGTGATAGCGCTGCAAAGTGCAGAGCTGCTAAGATACATGAAATTGAAGCGTTAAGACAAATTCTATTAATCAGCTACAGTTTTTCTAAGAGTTAGCTAAACAATGGGAGTTATTCGAATAGACTGTCAATTGGATGGCTTTTCCTCAATGTGCT